ACTTAAATTCAAATGCCAGCCCATTATTTTTTCTCTCAATTTATTTGACAAAAAAATATTTATTTCAATTTTAGAGAGCTTTTATTATTTCTTTTCAATTTAATCTTTAAAATTTATGATCCTTGATCAAGGATCAATTCAGTATGCAGACATTTCCATAATATTTCGCCAATAATCTAATTCGAGTGTGTCTTTTATTGCTCTTGGTGCCAAATTAAAGATTCAAAAATTATAATTATTGATAAACAATCTTGCAATTAGAAGTTACACTTGGATTTTTGCCCAAACACCATTATACCTCTTTGATTTTTTTGATTTTTGCTTGACATTTCCAGTATTTTGTATAAATATTTCAAAAGCATACACAACTCAGCAAAATTATTTCAAATAAATGCTCACCCTATTGATTTACGTCATTTTCAAATAGAATATCCAAATATTTTGCCTGTTAATTACACTCTTTTTGAACGAGTTAGTAATTTTTTTTTAATTCAATTTTAATATATGTTAATTGGTTCAAAACTCTGATATAAATTTGAATAGCTTTGAAAAAATGAATATTCAAGAATATATAAAAGAGATGAAATAATGATTCAAAGCCATCTTCTGTATTTTATTGATGATGAAACAAATACCGAAGAAAATTTTCAAAATTTAATCACTATTTTTCATAATAACTGAATTTGTTCTTTGTTCCAATACTCTCGATCGGCTTTCATCTGATTCAAACACATAATCAAGTAGGTCGAAGTGTGAATTGCTTTTCTTTTCCTTGATTGAAAAATTGTCCCTAGAAGCATCATCATAATGGATTTATGTTCTTTTTTTTTTCTTTTCAAGTATATATTTAAAAAGTAGCCTTCAATAATTACAATTATATAGGTATCCAAAAACCATCATAAAATTCTTTGTTAATATCTTTTATAAATTTATTTCTTTTGTGAACACCTCTATTATTTTTATGTTTAATATCTGTTAATTCAGTAAAATCCAGCAATTTATCATAAATATAATCTGTATTTTGATAAAAACGAAACGTGTCATCAATATTTTTATCAGCTAATATTTTGTATTGAATGATATTTATTACTTCATTTCTAAATTTAGTTGGAACTGCAGCTGATATTTTTGATAAATCAAGGCCATATTTTTTAAACAAATATGAAGATAAAAGAAATATTGAATGCTTAAATCCTAAAGAGAACGAATTTGTCAATAATTCAATGATTTTTTTGTGATATTTTTCATTTGGCTCATCAAAAATATAAATTTTGGCTAAATTAAACATTGATAAATAATCATTTGATTTATTTACTGCTTCGTTGAAATATTCTTTCGCCAATCCAATGTTTTTAGGTATTTCATCACCAAATCCATTTTTGTATATAATTCCAAGATTATTTTTTGCATATTGATAATTAAAAGATGATGCTTCTTTGTAATAATGAATTGCATCTTTTATATTTTCATGAACATTTTCACCAAAATGATGAAGATAACCTAGTAAAAAAAAAGAATAATTATATCCTTTTTGAGCAGATCTAATAAAGTAAGCAATTGCGGTTTTTTTGTTTTCGGCTGTAGATTCAGTCATGAAATAATAATAAAAACCTAATAAGCATTGAGCTTCTTCATGATGATTAATGTCAGCTGCTTTTCGAAAATAGTAAATGCCAAGTCTTATATCTTGAGAAACAAATTCTCCAAAAAGATAAAAACGACCAAGGAGAATTCGTGCATTAACACAATTGTTTTCAGCAGATAATTTATAATAATAAATAGCTTTTTCTATATTCATATATTTTTGGTTATATAAGTAGATCGATCCTAGATTTAATTGAGCTATTTCATCATTTTGATTAGCAGCAAGTTCATAATAATAAATTGCTTTCTCTATATCATTATATTTGTTTTCATAAATATTGCCAAGATTGCATTGCGCCTCTTTTATATTTTTATTGGCTGCAAGTCTATAATAATAAACAGCTTTGCAAATATCAACAGGGACATGATGTCCATTATCATAAATCAATCCGAGATTAAACTGAGCAGGTGCATAATCTTGATTAGCTGATAAAGTAAAGTAATGAATAGCTTTTTCGATGTCAATTGGACTATGTTCACCATTATAATAATGGCATCCTAAATTATATTGCGCAATTTCATGATTATTGTTGGCCGCAAGTGTATAATAATAAACAGCTTTGTTAATATCTTGGCTAATATTAACTCCTTCATAATAAATTTCAGCTAAATTCGCTAAAGCTTCAGTATTATTTTGATTGGCAGAAAGAGTAAAATAACAGATAGCTTTATTAATATTAATAGGAACATAAACTCCTTCTGAATAGATTGTCCCTAGAGCTAATTGAGAATTCGAATCATTTAAATTAGCACCAAGTGAAAAATAACTGATAGCTTTATTAATATCTGTGTGAACATATATGCCCATATAATAAATAAGTCCTAGCATATATGAAGCAATACAATTTCTACTGGCAATTAGAGAATAATAATAAATAGCTTTGTTGATATCTTGTTTAAGATATATGCCATTAAAATATAAATAACCAAGAGAAAGGCATGCATCTAAATTGTTTTCTTTTTCAGCAAGTGTGATAAATGTCGAAATCATTTGATCATTAAGATTTTCATTCATATATTTAATGCCAAGTTCTTCATTTTCGTCTTCTTCTTCTTTTAATTCCAAACTTTTTAATCTTTCTTGTAAATAATCCACATAAATTCTTTTTACTATTCTTCTTGTTTCTATGTTAAATTCATTTAGGTCAATAAATGACTTATAATAACTGTAATAATATTTAATTAATTCAGTTATTGTTGGCCTTTCAATATCTTTCAGTGTACAAAAATGATATAATTTATTCATAAATTCTTCACTGGAGATTTCATTTGATCCAGATATATTTGGATCTTTTTCATTCATTATAAAATACATCATTTGTCCTAATGAATAAATGTCCCATTTTGATGAAATGTGATTTGAATCAGATTCGTTTGGTGCATAAATTGACGAGAATTCATGAGTATAATTTGTTTTACTTGATATTGAACGATCATTAAGTAAACGATCAAAATCAATAAGAACAAGTGTTTTATTTTCATCAATGATGATATTGTTTGGTTTTATATCTCTAATTATATAATTATTTCTATGAAAGTACTCAATGATGAGCATCAATTCAAAAATAATTTTCACTTTTTCTTTAAATGAAAGTTTAAGTTGTCCAATGTTCAATAAGTTTTGCCCATAGATGTATTCTATAACAATATAATCTTTGTTTTCTAATTTCCCTATAAATTTTGGAATTAATGGATGATGAATTTGCCTGTAATTATCGGTTTCTCTTTCAATTAATTTTGGAATTTCAAAGTCTTTGAATTTTGGCTTTTTAATTGCAAGCAATCGCTCTTTTTCAATATGATAAATCAAATCAATTAAAAATACTGATCCTTCATCAATCGTTCTCAAAATTATAATTGATTCATTTGGAATTATTTCAAAGGTTGGCCGTTTAATTCGAGGAAAAAATTTAAATCGATTTTTTTTCGTTTGAAGATAGCTTTGTTTGATCAAATATCCAGTTATGCATGATTTAACTAATTTCCAGACTCGTTCCAATTGTTTATTTAAAGAAAACGTTAGGATCATTTGATTATTAAAGCTTTTTATTTCATCTTCAAAAATTGGATTATAATCAATTTTATTATATATGATTTTAATATGCTCATCAAATCGTTCTTTTGTTTTTGGCAAAAAGCAAATGTTAAGTTCTTTTTTAAAACTTAAAAGTCTATATAAAAAATCAAAACAATTTTGATCAAAAAACATAATTGAATTCTTAAAACTTAAAATGAAGAAATTATACGTCGTTTGGCCCTTTGATTCTTCAAAGAATTTAATTATAATTGTATCTGATTCATTCAAATTTTGATATATAATTTCTTCATTGAAAAAATTTATCTCTCTTGAAATCAACATGAAAATATAATTTCTGATAACGTCATCCAATTTTTGGTTCTTAATTTTTGGTGTTTTGTTGCTTCTATCCTGAAAGATTTGGCAGAAATACTGAATCATATAAATTTTGTCTCGAAATTCTCACAAATTTTTTAAATACTTTATTTTAGAATTATAGTTAGTGGACAAAAGTATTTTTCACTACTGTTTCTTCATTATAGAATAATAATTTTTCCATAAAAATTTATATGATTTTGTATTTATATTTTTTCCTTTTTTAGTATTTGTATTTATATAAATTTTGTTATTTAAGCAGCTTATTTTTTTTGAGAGGCCTTGTCTAAAAATTTTTGTTGCAGCTACTCTTTTTTTCAAATTCAAAAAAAAAAAAAAAAAAAAAAAAAACTATATAAAAGAGGCAAACTTACATACTTTCATTCCAATATTAAATTTGGCTACTCTGCTTTTTCATTTTATTTTTATTATAAAAAATGTTATTTTTGGCGTAAAAATTTTCTAAAAAACATTAGATGTAAAAACGAAAGCCTGTGTAGCACAAATGGTTAGTGCGTTCGACCAGTAATCGGAAGGTTGGCGGTTCAAATCCGCTCGTAGGCATTTTTTTGAATTTTTTTTTTTTATTCTTTATTATTATTATTATAAATGTGACAGTATCTTCTGCCTTTCTATATAAATACATGTTTTTGGAGGAGGAGTTGTATGTTTACTTTAATTTTAAGTTATACAAATACATGTATTTGATATCAAAAGCTGAGAAAAAAATATGGCGATCATTGAAATCTACTTATTTATCTATATTAAAAATTAAATTAATTATCCATCTCGAGAATCGCGAAATAGCAAGTCTCATTTATTTAATAAAAGTTATGGTTATGTTTTGAATAGATTTCAAAGATTTTTCAGTTCAAGAATAAATTTAATACCTGGGATGACAGATTATATTTGTATCTCTTGTCAAATCCCTGGAATAATCTGTTTAATATATATAAATATGTAATCTCTTGTAGTATAATGGTCTAGGACGTGGGTCTGATAAGCCTGAGATGGAGGTTCGATTCCTCCCAAGAGAATTTTTTTGTATTTTTTAACTCAAAAAATACTGTGAGAATTGAACCACACATCTGAAAAACTATTAAATTAGATCAAAAAAAATTCGAACTGACAATCGACTAATCCAAATTATGAGAAACGTAAGTATAAAGAAAATAATTTACAAGTTTCAGTGTACCATTCATTGTAATATAGCAAAAAGACATAAATCTTCATTAACTTGGACCAAAAACACGGAAAGAATGATTGTTGCGGTTTGAATTACATAGTTTGAATTCAGGATTTACATATGTTCCAAAACCAAACTGTAAAATTGGGAATAAGACTGCTTGTTGAGTTTATTTGAATAATAAAAACTTTGTCAGGATGAGATATGAAGTATTCACAAGTTATTGTCGATTGGTGATATTTATATTGAACATATGTTATGTTTTCTTCTATATCAAGAAATTTGATGTAATCAATTGCCTAGCTCTTATCATGATTATTTTAATTGAAACAAATTTTTTATTAATTATTTGTAATTGACTCTCATAAATATTGCCTTTCGGAGGTTTTAAAAATTACGTTCGGTTTAAACTTTTTCAATAAAATAGACCAAGAAAAAAAATCAATTACGTTTTACGATTACGTCTACGTGAAAAAAATTAGAATACGACTTTTTTAGAAAAAGTTAATATAAAGTTGCCTTTGAAAAATTATAATATTGATCTTTAAATTTAAATATTTTGCCCTTTCAAATTTGAGAGCTTTAACTTAGAGGAAAAATTAAAATTGAGGCTAAAGTATTGAGTTCGAAACTAAACCTCTTTGCTTTTTTTTTTTTAAAAAAAAAAATTATGTAATTACGTTTCATTTCGGCTATTTTTACATTTTAATACGTCTTTTCTAGCCTTTACTTTTTTCACATCACAAATTCATTAACGTAACTTTTTAACGTTTATATTCTTTAATCCTTATTTTGGTTGTTGTATTTGCACGTTTTTGGTAAAAATATCAAGTTTTCAAATTAAATTTTATTAAAAAAATCATTGAACAGATAAAATTAAAATTTTGAGGCACTTTAGTTTATATTTTATATAATCGCTTTTTAGTATTGGTTTTATATGTTAAAAAGGAATTAAAAGTTTATAAAACAATATTATAATAGTAAATAATCTAGAAATCTTGAGTAATGTGAATTGGTTTGCTCACAGAGTGATTATATTCTTTTTATAAAATGGTCAATCATTTCACCTTTGCAAAAAATGATTTTTAAAAATTGCATTTTACTTTTAAAAAAATGGTTTTATTAAATAATTTAATTGATATTTTATTTATTCACAAAAAATTATTTAGTATATTATCTTTTTTCAGAGATATGATTATTTTATGTATTCAATATTTTCAATAAAAAATACATTGTACAAACCTTGTATTTTTTCGATCGTTCTTTGTAGAACAAGGTTGGTACAAAAAGTGAAGTCTAGTCTTTTCATTGAATTTTATAAAATTCCAATTACATCCGAAGGGTAACATAAATAATAAAACTTTATTATTTAGGCTAAAAAAAAGATTCATTCAAAAAAGCCCCCACTTTTTCTGGGAATATGTCCAAATAAGTAAAAATAAAACGGTTTGGCTCAAGAAGATAAAAATTTTTAGAAGTAAAAAAGAGCTATTTCATTTCCAGAACACAACAAGGAACCAAAACTCGAGCGAACGAAGGGCTGACACCCGGAGGGCTTCCCCCCTTGGGGGGCTAGGGGGGGCCTGGCCCGAAAGGGAGCGACCAATATTTTTGCGGAGCTGAGGCTCCGCAAAAATATTGGACGAATGGGGGCGTAGCCCCCATTATGCGTTGATTCTACAAACCGCAGCGTAGCGAGGATTCTTAATTTTAACAATTTTCTTAATTATCATTCGATATTTCTAAAATTTTTACAAATATACTCAGTTTTCTTATTTTTAGCTTTTATTTATCTTTTTTATTATAAATATTTTCTTATTAGTAGTTATATATTTGCCACGATTTTTGCACTTCGTTCAAAAACCGCGTCAAATATCTCCCATCCGCGACCCCAGCCCCGCCCTGTCAGGTATGATCCCCCACTCCCATTAATGATCTTCCACTGGGCTTGTTCTCAGGATTCCTCTCAACGCTCTGCTAGGAAGGAGGCCCCGTATCGTTAACATCAAAAAAGCTATAGAAAAAGTTGTTAATTGTGTGGTTTACTTAAAGGCATTCTTTCCAATCGTTTGCATGGCATTCAATTGGATAGTATATCCATCTTGTGTAAAATCCTATTCTATTAAATAAATGCTCTGCATATGAATCTAGAAATTGGTACATTCCTCTTTGAGGGTCCAATAGGGTCCAATCAATTGTGGTATTTGGGAAAAATTGAAAGAATCTGGTAGAAATGCTCGTAAAAAGATTTTCATCGAAATTGAATTTACATTTGACTATATCAAGGGTTGTTTCAAACATTTTTTGTCGAATTTCTATGCATTTGTGAAGTTCACGATAATAATTTCTGACAAATGCTTGCTTTGGGCCAATATTGAATGGTGAATCTTGTGCAGTAACAATTTTACATAAACTCTGGTACATATAGTCATCTTCATTTAAATCTAAATCTTCTGGGTGTTTATCGATAAGATCTGATAGGTTCTCTATTGGATAGTTCTCTGTAGGCTCTACGTTGCACTCGGAGATGGCGAACATAAGTAAAAATGATGTGATGAGGTGAGCACGAAAAATCATATTTTTTATTTGGGTCCCTCATGGGGTGCCCTAGGTGTTGCAGGGGTGCCCTCTAAGTTTTTGGGGTGGAGACCGTTTACCAAAAATCTAATTTTTTCTCGTTAGGTCATCACATCACTTTTTTTCATGTACAGCAGGAAGCAAGATAAGCAAAGTCTTAAGGTTTTCAGAAAGACAGTACGCAACTTTATTTATGATACAACAAGGTTATTGGAATTAGCTGATTCATTAAACGACGACATGAAAACAATTGAAAGACTGGAATCAGAAAATCGAAGGCTCACCGAAGAAAACGGCTATATAAATGATGAAATTGATAAAAATCCAAAGTCCGATCCGATATGGGAAATGATGGTTGAAAATGAGCTAAAAATTGATGAAAATCGAGATAAATTGGACGATTTGAAAAAAGAAGAAGAAAAAAAGAAAGTCCAATTGGAATCAAAAGCACAAGTATTGAATCAATTTGTTGATGGGTTACGAGATTGCTTCGTTGACCCACTAAATTTGAAGGAACCAGAAGATTCAAATGAATAAACCATTTACTAGCTAAACTTTTTTGAATTATTTATTTGTTTAAAAAATGACAAATCAAACTCTAAGTATATCATATGAATATCAAGGAATTTCGGTTACTTTTAAAGATCAAGATGCAAAGAAAGAATTTGAATTTTTAATTAGAATTTGTCAGGAAGTTGGAATTGATGAACCAAATATACAAACAATTCATCAATATTTTACAGAAAATCCAAATACAATAGAGGAAACAAATGAATTAATTTTATATACTCATTTAATGATAGAAACGTTAGCTTTAAAAGAACTTCATCTTGGTGATACTCTTGGATTAACATTAGATAATGTAAATGCCGAATATCAACAAAAAAGAGGAGATTTGATGAATTCGATAAAAGATATCAAAAAGAAAAAATCGGATAAATTTGAGGAATTATTTATTAAATTTGATAGAAGTCATTATTTGCCAGTTGATCCAACAGATTATGATATATGTTTGAATTATAAAGAAACAAGAGAATTGTATGAATTGGTTCAACACGCTTTTCATATGGACCCAGGAAGAAAGTTAGATCAAGCTTTCGATGCAACTTTTCAATTAGGGGATCTCTATATTTATTCATTTAGTGGGAAACCTTACAATCCTCTTTATATGAGATTTTACAAAGCATTTATTCAACAATCTTGGGGCGAATTGAATAAACAGGTTTTAATAAGTTTATTGAATTCAGACGCAATTTTTGAGGTTTGTGATGCGTTAAATTCAAAAATATCAAGAACAATAATATATGAAAATAAAGGAACAAATGAACAACGTCAATTCCGATTCCTTCCGAAAGAAAGAATGGACATTCGAGCAGATGATTATATATCTTTAGCAGGAGCTGAACAAGACGGTGCAATGTATGTATTGAATAATCTAAAAGGAATTCTAACAGTTTTACAAAATTTGGAAAAAAATCATGAAAATGTTCAAACTTTATTCACAGTTGCTTTAATAAAATATATTCATTTTGAAAATAAAAACTGGTTTGATCCTTCAGTCTTTTCAAAATATTTGAATATTTTATTAACTGATTGTGAAAAGTTTAATGTAACCAATTATAATGACCTGGTTTATGGTGATAAATGGGATGAAACGAGAAACTTTATTTTGCAAAAAGTATTACTTTGGAATAACGAACAAGATCAATGGACATTTAAGGCACAACTCAGACAAAAAGTGATTCATTCAATAGCACGACAAAAAGATATCAAAGATCTTTGTGAGAAATTATTAATTGAAAAGTTAACATTAGAAAGCACGCCGATATCACCTGATAACGTACAAGATCAAATGAAAATGTTGGAAGAAATAGTCGACAAGAAAGGGGTTGATATCGATGATAGATACACAACAATTTGTACCATGTTAATTCAAGAAATTGCGGAAATCAATCCAGAAAGAGGTGCAGCTTTAATGAAAGGAAGTACAGACGAAAGAAATGTTGCCTTATTACATTTGAATATTTGGTATGTTATCCAAGATTACATTCATAATACGACAACTCCAGAAGATATCCGAATAAAAAATTGTGTTGAGCAATTTAGACAATATCCATACTCGTCAAAAGCAATAGAAAATATAATGAATAGTTACAACAAAAATGATAAAAATCAAGCTTATCGTCGAATAATTGGTGAAACTGCATATAATTTGTGTTTAATGAAAGCATATACTGGTGAAATAGGTTTGGATAAAGTGATAGATTTATTACC